AAAGAAAGAAAGAAAGAAAGAAAGAAAGAAAGAAAGAAAGAAAGAAAGAAAGAAAGAATCTAAGAAAGAAAGAGGAGGAGAGAGACAAAAGGAAGGAAGGAAGGAAGGAAGGAAGGAAGGAAAGAGTGAGAGAGAGAAAGAAAAAAAGAAAAAGAAAGAGAACTTATCATCACAATTGAGCCCAAAATTTTAATTGCTAAGCAAGAGCATTGTTAAGTGAGTTTCACCACATTTTCCAAGTTAGCCACACCCACCCGGTCACATGCCCACCAAGCCACACTCACCCAGTCACATGACCACCAAGCCACTCCCACAAAACAGGCCACACCTACAAAATAGGTTCTAAAAATTTTGAAACCCACCACTGGTTCAAACACTTAGCAATGTGAACACCCTAAATCTCCTGTAGTATTTTTTTTAGTGTGGAATAACTGTGTATTTTGGTTATTTGAAAGCAGAATTCTTTTTAATAGAATATTTATGAGGAAAGAAAAAGGTTCAGTGAGGGTCCAGGTGCTAAGAAGCTGGGCCTTTCCCATTTGAAACATTTCTCAATCTCTTTGCCCAGATCGGAATCTGGGCAAAAGGAACAAAATGGAAATTGTCTCAGCTAAGAGCCTGTTCTTCTTAGCTTCACTGAAAGAACTTGCCTCATTGTTTCAACGAAGCTTATCAGTATGTGATGTGATAAGGACTGTGCTTTTCATCTGGCTTGCTGATTTGGGTGGAGAGAGTGATTGTTCAAGGTCGTCCAGCTGGCTTCTGTCCTAGGGGAGGACCAGAACTTGGCTCTCCCTATTTCTAGTCAAGCATCTTTAGCACTATACCACATTTTCTCTCTTCATTCGGATAGAAAAACCGGGATTTCTTTTGCCCTTTATTTTATTACTTGGGCAAAGAGGGACAAGCAGAAAAATCAAAGGAAGCTGAGAAAGAGAATCATTCTCAAGTAATTTCAGAGAGTGAGAGAGATAGCGCCCAGAATGTGTGAGAGAATAATTCCTGAAATTATTTGGGAGTGATTCTCATCCATATTCCATATTCCATTGAAGCATATGTATATATTCCATGAAAGTTTAGGAGCAGCTTTTAGAAACTCCCTAAAGTGTGAATATATAAATAAAAACATTTTTCACCAAAAAAGCCTATTGTAGAATCCTGACAGAGCTAATATATTTGTAGAGATTCTTGATTTTAAGCACTACTAGGAAACAAGAGATAATAAATTCCGCAGACTGAATTTTAGGAGATGAAACAGTGTGATCACTTGATCTCGAGAGGATTGTTACAGAGAGATAAAAGAAAGATGGAGAAAGGGGCAGATACATTTATTTGGTGTCTTCCTTCCTTAAAAAAAAAAAACTTTGGAGGCTGACCTTAGATAAAAGATAAGTAAATGTAGACACAACAAAATTCATGGATAGTATGGAAAATGTGGATAGAAATTGTTCTGTTTCCCACTGTTTGATCAAAGAATGATTTCATTCTGATATAATGCGTTGAATCCCAAGAGGCACACTTAGAAAATATTTTTTTTTAGAAATCAGTGTCATTAAAGCCTCTATCATTGTGTATTTGTTATATTTGGATCCAAGCCAGAATTGTCATTGTTCTACACATTCATGTGTACTTAATTCATTAGCTAAAAGAAACATTTTTCAAAAACGATAGCTCCTGAAGGACTTCCAAATTTATAGTGGATATAAAATGTGACAGTGAAAAGGGAGCAGACAGAAGCCTGTCATCAGTATATCTTTTTCAGTAACCCGGCTCCCTGCTTTTATATTTTGTTATAAAATAAACTTGAGGAAAGGTTGCTCTCTAGCGATAACACAAAGAATTACGTGTTCCAAGTTTCTGTTTTTCGTAGGATAGAAAACAAAGGCTGAACAGTGGAAGAGAAGAATAGTTAATGCTTGCTCCAATCTCAATTTCTTGTACATTGCAGATCAATTCTGCTGAAGCCCATATCATATCTATTCTAGAAAATGATGAATGTCTATTTGAATAAAAAGTGTATTGTTCTTTTTTTGGCATTTCTTTCTCTCCATATATCTTTTAGATTTATTTCATCTATCATCCTAAAGAAGGATTTCGGCAGCAATTTTCTATTTAGCTTTTTTGTTTTGTGTGTTTTATAGTCCATATTTTGGTTCACAATGCCATTAAAGTCTCCCATCATACAAATATCAACATAGTCTAAGTCCAAAATTCTTTTATGTAATTTTTTATAAAATTCATCTTGTTTTTCATTGGGGGAATAAATTCCAATTAGAAGTGTTTTTTTGAT